ACGACTTCTTACGTAGGTAGTAGTAGTAGTACTAGTATATATATATATATATATATATATATATATATATATATATATATATATATATATATATATATATATTATATTTATATATATCGAGCTACTATCACCACAACAAACAACTGGCATATAGAGTTAATTTATAAAGGGCGAAGATACAAACACACTTCTCGTCGTCTTCAATACAAATTCCTGTGTTACAAGGTGTGGCGTAATAGCGGTCTGCCCTTCTGTGCGCGTGTTGTGTAGTTTATGGTCGTGATTTGTAGTAGTATACCGCTGTAGCTTTATCTGTGATATTTGATTGGAGCCGTCATTTAATTTCACGGTTTAAGCGATATCTCAAACTTGAATGCACAAACTCTGCCCTCCTGTGTGCCAAGACATCATCATGTAGAAGTATGTTGTACAGAACATATATATATATATATATGTATGTATGATGTATATGAATGTATATGAATGTATGTATACATGTATATATATATATATATATACATAACATATCGCTTGCTACCGCGTTTACGTCCAACAGTATGGACTGCATATTGGTTCACACAGAGTGCAGATATTGAATTGACGAGCCACCTCTGTACTATGGCCTTGTTGTTCTTTCCTTAGCAGGTTAAGTATATATATACATTTATTTGTCATTCCACTTTAGCTGCACATGGTATATAATCCGCCGGTCACTGGCAAACTGAAACTATACAATCGTGAACAGTCCAAGAACCAAGTATTAATATGCATATTCGCGCGAAAATTTGTTCACTTGCATATCAATCAGATGGCGAGCAGTATTGAACCGGCGATAAAAGTCAAAACACACATGGACCTGCTATTGCAGAGATAGTCATATTTAAAATCCGATCTCAAAGAGACAATTCTGCTATACGTATCGGTCATACTCGTTTCTCATTGATATTCGTCACTCTGTGGTATTCCGACTGTTTGTGTTCTAGAATAATCGGGCCTATATAACCCGAATGTCGGTTGTTTTAACTAAATATAGGTACATACTACAAGATAGGCATTTACACATACTACAACGTGTAAGTATGTGTATACATTTTAATACGTATGTCGATGGATCCAACTAAATATAGGCACATATTACAAGATACAAATTTACAGTTACTACAACGGCGAGGTGCACGTGTAAATATGCATGCGCATGTGTCGATTGTACCTCAATGCATTCTGGACACAAAGAAGTTAACATGATATCATAAATCCCCTGGAATGAGAGAGTGTGTCGCTCTGTAGCCCCGACCTCCAGACCCAGTGGTGCATGAATTTATTCTCAATACATCTACGTTCAACTTTTAAATTGGACCCTTCACTTTATTTTAAAAAATGTATTAAGGTTGGGGCCCTTCTTTTTAAATTTGGTAAATAGGGCCCTAGAGTAAAAAAAGGTCCTATCACAAATTATCTTTTTTAAATAACTATGGAGATTGGAGTATAGTACATATTATGGTCCAGTGCTTTATGCCTTCAGTAGTCGGCTTCAAGTCTTCAACCTTTATGATTCAACTCGTCAAGCTGTAAATGTTTACTAAATATAGTCATGTCACAATTTTATACAGTCAACACTCGCAGTTTCACACGGTCACACCGGGTCAGCTGTCACGTATATATATTTAAAAATAGACTGTGGACTGTGGACTGTGACTCGGAGTCGGCGAGTCTGTGTCTCTGTGGCTGTTGTTTGGAGATTGTAGGAGTCAGGAGGCTGGAGAGTGAACAACTGAATATTACAATTTACATGTGATGATGACATATTTCACAACAACAAGAGAGAGACTGTCATCAGACTGTTAAATAGCGGAGAACACGAGCCTTTTGATTTTGTGTCGCGTCACAATAACGTACGATGCTGCGTCGTGCTTTCGACACAATGCTTTTTTTTTTCCTCTGACACCACAATAGAACACTTTTATAATCTAAAAAAAATAATTTACAAAACATATATTCATATATTTATAGCGCCAGTACCCTCGTTGACTCGTTCAAGACACTTCAAAAGTTCAAGCGGAAAGACGAAAGCGGCAGCACCGTACGATTTGGTTCGATTAATGTGAGCCAATGGCAAGGGTCGAAAAATGTGACGATGCCATGGTATACTTTCCCCGCCGATCCGTCTTTTTTTGAAACAAAAAATAAATGTGAGACTATCATCAAGAGTACACATACATAAGTTGAAAGTCCGGCTGCCGTATTTTATATTATAATATTGGACTGAATTCATATAGATTGCCCTATAATCGAGTAAACTAAAAATATTCAAGGTTACTAGTATATGCTTATAGGCAGATACTCAGTGAATTGTGATCATACACTCTGATAAAATCTGTTGGCATATCAGAATTGCAAAGGGATAATCGGGTGATATACCTCGCCAATCGGTGTGATTTTCCAATTCGGCTGTGAGATTAGTCACAAATGTCGTAAACTCTGTTTCAAATTGAAGAATCGGAATGTGTGCTTGAACCTGGATATAATACACGATAACAGTTGATTAAAAATATAATGAAATATAATATACGACCATAAACACAATATCTAGCCAGTTCCTTCTGAATTATCAGGCAGATCTCAATAATCATGTTTCCGTAGCGTACCGTACGCCGTGTGGCGAACGGCGTTACATGTGAGCGACTAATAATGACCAAACGACGAGAGTGTGCGCGTAGCTATAGAGCATTAAATATCATTTATTTTTATATTTAAAGTCGACGAGCTGCGGTGTATATTTATACACTTACATAGTAGTATACACGCTCCAGTATGAAGGTTGCCTTTAGGTCAGTATTATAGTAAGTGGCTGCATATTAATTGGATTGTTTCTTCTTGCCATTTGTAGACGAATTGAAGTCCGAAGTTGACATCCACAGCAACTCGAAATATAGTCGCGATGCAAGCTCGATATCAATACGGAGATATATATTCAACCCAAACTCAAGTCTTCACTGACGTATCATATGCACAATATAATTCTACAATCATTCCCACTGTCACACAAGTACAATACCAACCGCAAGGTTATGTAGGAACGCGATCACACGAATACAGAATATACGCTTCAAGCAAACTACCAACCCGAATGATGTACACCTCCATATTCACACGTGTAGCCATCCTCTATACCTTTGGCGTGGGTCTCTGCCTGGCCTTCAGTCTTCTCATGCACCAGCACAGAGTTTACACATATTATGATGTTTCCGCATCGCTGTTCTTAGTGGGGTGCTGCGGCTTTGCAGCTGTGCTGGTGGGATTGGGCTATCCATACGTAGACAATCAACTGGGCCTGCCACATAAGTTGAATCGCGAATGGTCCAGTGTAGTTAGGTGTGCCGGACTACTGGTTGGCATCAGCTACGCGTGTGCGGTATGTATCTCTATACCATTGGCATGCGCTCTCAGAGCATCGGTGTTCTCGTCTTAGTTGTTGTGTTCATGTGGTTATCGCATAACACTCGCTTACTCAATATCAATATCTGCTATTTTCGTCAGTTTGTTTGTGTAGTATATGCTAGTCTAGTCTATAAATCGGTGTTTGGTTTATCGATCCACTTGCTATACGGTAAACCCTAGGGCTTCCGAATAGCATAGCTTGGGGCAAACCTATAGCTAATCTCAGTCGACTTCACTTCCTGTTTATATGGGGTATCATATGTCCTGCAGTTTCTACCATCACTGGTAGAGTATTCTGAGCGTGCTCAAAGCAAAGATATCCTCAGATCTTTTGGGCCTAATTATCATATACAAGTTGGATACTACAGTTCAATATTTTGAGTTAAACGTGCTACTTCGAAATCTTCTACCCCAGATGAATAGCCTAGCAGTACGTTAGTTGATACGTGTGTGATAGCTAAAGATGGGCACATATAATTTATATTATATATAAGTATGGGAATTGTAATTTGTTAGTTCACTTACACGTGATTATGTGCACACACGGATCTGTGTTATACCGAATAATATGAAAATGTGGATTCATACATATGCATACGTAAATATGGAAATATTCAACCGGTATGTCTATTCGTATATATATATATACAAATATCTGCAAATGTAAATGTAAGTTTTGGTGTATTTCCTTGTGTATTTGTGTACATGTTCTGTATTTGCATATATGTGAACTTCAATTATCATATGTGCAAGTTAATTTTATGTTTTTAATTAATTAAATAGTTTTTGAGACACTAATTTTATTCTTCTTTGCGTTCGAGAGCTGTATTCTAGTCGGTGCGTGTACACCTGGCCTTCGTACAATAGCTGCCTGTGTATAGTGGGTGAGCTCACGCTCTACTCACAATGTGTCATGCAGGAATGCAAGCACATGTGCACTGCTTTTGTTACCCCATCTTAGAGGTTGTTCCTTGAATGCGTCGCCTTACCCGTTGAACGCTATGTCCATCGTAACAGCATTTCTTGTGAGCCGCTTTCGGATTGTGGATAGGTTCATACAGCATGCGCCGCAAACGAAGTTTATTTGTGTGTGTTTGCCCTATGCCTATGGTTTTTCGATGACAAACGCCTCGCTTTGTACCTTTCTGTTTCCGAGTTTGTTCACGACAATGTACAGTATGAGATTTCTGGTATTTATATCTTCCGGGTTTGTTCACGACAATGTACAGTATGAGATTTCTGGTATTTATATACAAGTGTTGCATGGCGCTAGTCTTGCCCATCTGCCACTGGCATCCACCTGCCATGCGTGCAGTAGGTAAAAGCGACTATGACTCATGCCCTTGGATAAGAGTATATGTGAATGTGTATGTGTTGTCGCATAGTCGACTATGTATGTGTACTTGTCTGAATGTGTTGGTATGGTTTAAATGTGTGTGTGTGTTGGCGTGTAGACAGTCATATATGCGTGTTTGTGAGAATGTACTTTGTTGAGTACCGACAATTGAACCTTCCTGATGTTCGTCACACGCTTCACTCTCTCGGTTGACGCTCTCTAGTCTCTTAAAATTAAACGCTATCACAGACACGGCCGAGAATAGTCCAGAGAACAATCTTCTCGATCGCTCTTGAGAGGTACGATGTATTTATATAGCCTTTCCTTATCTCCACGATCTCGTCCCATAGCTCACCCGTACATCCCAACACAACACAGAAACTGCCGAACGTGACCACCACACAGCTGTCGGTGGTAGTGGCATTCCTTGCGCTTGCGCTGTGGTGGCTATTCGACCGTTCGCGTCATGGGCTGTTGCTAGGTGTCTTCTTTGCCTTCGCTGGGACCGTATCGGGACAGTTGTTAGCCTACTCTGGACTATTGTGGTATGGGAGTCACGGGATGCTTGGTTGGTGTTATACACGTACTGTATGTTTGCACGTATACATACAAATAGACTTAAACTCGTATATATGTATATACGTATATACGTACATGCAAATCTATGTACGTGACATACAGACATATGCACAGACATACATGCACGCTATCCTGCGAACCTGCCTTATACATATATTGCTGCACACATGCTAGCCTGTTTATGTACATACATACATACATACACTCCCACATACATACATGCATGCAAGCCTGTCTACATACATACCGTTGCCGTGTATCATATGCCCAGTCTATTTTTACCACTCGTGTTATCTGCTATGTACTATACGTCCCGTTGATGATGCATACAAATCACGTGTTCACGGATCATACAGTGATAACTTCACTACCATTCGGTGTCTCCACCTGGCCACATGTGTAGCCAGCTAGTCACGGCATCTTAATATATGTTGGACAGTATGCGGAAAGTGTCATATATCATATATTCAACACGCCCAATCACATATCTTGTAAACACCCATAGCACACCGTTCGCTCGCCTCATATATCTACACTATACCTACACACACAGGTACACAAAGCCTGATTTCATCCTGGTCCGGTCCTGGTTCCCTTCTGTCCTGTTTTCTTCGGCCATATCCTTCGGCAGCATGGGCAGACAACTGGCGGTTACCGATGACACACAGGACACGTATGAGACACGCGACTCATTCAACACCGCACCACACACCCGTCGCACTATGGCGAAGCTCAAGACCACGTAGCGTATAGGTGGAGATATAATAGCATGTACGTGCATAGCATATGCACGTATACATAGACGACAGCGATCCATGTGAAGACGTGGTCATCGTGCCTACAGGAGCACATGGGCGCACGTGGTTATGACTAATAAGGATGGAATCACGTGGCTGTGACTAATGAGATGGAATCACGTGGCTGTGACTAATGAGATCGAATCACGTGGCTATGACTGATGAGGGCTTGTCAACACATCCAGGCGTACCATCTCAGCAACGGTACCAAATATTGCCGCATATCTGACAGTCCTGTATTGTAGGCTGTTGGGATAAGGACAGCTTCTCAAGCGTGAGATATCTACATACGAGCTTGTCTTGGAACACGCTTATTCACGCCACCCTATGGAAGATGGAAGATACAGATATATATGTAACACATATGAACAAACACGCCCAGACACGTGTGGCAATCATACACTGAGACATGCGTACAATCCCTAGCACACCATCACACCGTGTTGGTGTACTGGTGGGTACTATCAGCGACACAGATGCGGCACGAGCATCTTCCCCACTGCTGCACACCGAACACCCTACCATGTATTACACCGTCCATTGCACACACGTATATATCACAATGTCCGACACACACCCATATACCACACTGCCTACTATACACACGTAGTAAAGTAGATGTCTGACACACAACCATATACCACACTACCTACCACACATACGTAGTAAAGTAGGTGCGTACGTGACCCAAGTGCCGGGTGACGGGCGAGACTGAATGCCACTGTATCGTAGACTAAGGTGCATAGTGGTGTGTTGTGGGACACCCTGTGCTACCTATATGCCTCAGTGGCGCACGATGCTCTGAAGGCGAAGGAAAAGGCAAACGCACTGATGCTAATCGTATCACCATTGTGTGTGCATAGCGAGTTATAATTATACTCGGGTGTCGAAAGTCATGATGGGTACTATTTGTCACTTCCAAGTTGCGTCGCAGTGGTCGCACTGTGAATCGCGATGGTCAATATAGTATGAGAGGTTAGCCTGCGATCAGAGAAGGTCGATCCAGATCGATTTAAATGCCGTTCCCCATAAAACACACACAAGTGACTGATATGTATCAGATGGGATTAGTCACCATGTCCCACACAAAACACACAAGTGACTTAATATATTTCAGTTGGAATTAGTCACCATATCCCATACAACGCACACAAGTGACTAATATATATCTGGTGCAATCAGGTGCCGTGCCTTACCCAACGTACATATCTGAGATGATTTTAGTTACCATCTCCTGTACAACACACACACGAGTGACTACGATATATGTCTGATGGATTCCGGTGCCCTCTCTCATGTAAGACATACAAGTGACTGTGTCAACACTGTAGCAGCGAGAAGATTTTATCGGAATCTTTCGATAGAAATGCGAACATATATGTAAAATATTAAATCGTATCCAAACAAAAACACGTCGGTACCAGTTCGCAATAATAAAAATATAGCGTATATGCTCGATTCAATACTGAGATTACTATGACAGTAAATGATCCAGTTTTAGGCTTCGGACGCAATTCAGTTGTCTAGTGACAACGACACGGTTTAAGATAATAGCGGTCGCACCGTTATAAAAATTTAAAAAAATCCTATTCAACTCTTAAACGACTGCGTCACGCATCTCTTCTATGCTAACGTGAAGATACAACCAAAGCGAACAGTTTGCAGTAGAAGGCCGGGTAACCGATTAGCTCAGCTGCACACCAAGGCAGTGAACTACCACTCAAAAGACCAGGAAAGTCTAAAGCAGTGAACCACCATTCAAAAGACCAGGTAAGCGAACTTTCAATAGGCAAATTGAAGGTTGAAGTGTGTATGTCAACAAGCAGAGTGTATTAAGAAACCATTCGTATATGCGATGCGAAATATACCTGCGATTATACCTGAGACGCAGACTTAACCCATCTCAACCCTTGTCGGATTGAAAAGCAAACCATCCACAGCCACAAATCCTCAATGTGAGAACTAATTCGCTATAAACAAGCTTCCAAAAAAAAATACATACCGTCTTTTTTTCTTTCTTTTTCTTATTAATAAATGCTATAGGGCAATATGTACGGAATTTGTGCAATTCACACGGAATGTTTCCAGTCCGCCACAGATGCCAGTTTGTCATTCGCTGAATAGATATTTACATTCGATCTAAAAACATTTCGCCACCAGAGACAATATCATATCCAAAAGATTTACTTTTCTCTTGTAGGTATAATCAAGTAACCACAGACTTAGTCATTAGGCACCAAGCATACACGGCGTAGAAATGCTTTGTTGTTCTGTCTCAATTAATACCTTTTAATATATAGTTGTAGTACAATGTTTGCGAGGATAGCTTTCATATCTATCCAACCTCTCTGGTCACTAAACTTTCCCAGAATAGAGAAGGGCACGAAAAGTGTGCAAGGAAAGTTTGTATCTAGCGTAGCTTCGTGGGCACTAATAGGTATCACGGCGTGTGGGTTTTAGAATGCCAAACAGGTAAGAGTGACACTCGTTTCCGGCCACATTTTGTCCTCAAGAGAATGACTTAGATACATACTGATATACACAGTTCACAATTTTATTTTATAGCTATCCACTTTACATTCCGTTTCTGCCACCCTTCACCAAAAATCTGGCGGTGTTGAGCGTTGGATTGCTGTATTCCGTTCCTTCTTATCCTTTGTATGTGTCTGGTCTGAAATCTGCCAGATTTTGCCACTTAGCTTTCATGGGACTTCGTCTGGCGGTACCCACAGTGGCCATGTGTGCTGCAAAAATAGCTTTCGAGCCTGTTTACCGTTCTTCGCTAATTGATAAGGTAAGACTAAGAAGGAACTACGTTTCCGGGATGGTTTTGCGTACTCAACTTGCAACAACCTATGTGTAAATGCGTATTTGTACTTCAAGACAACTGAATGTAGGACAGGATGTACTTTAGTGCATGGATAAACTCATGCCGATCGTATTTATTACTGCACTATAGATTTGTTGGTTAGGGTGCACACAAACGTATCTCAATACAACATATCGTTTCGCATACAATATGAGCAGGTAAATCGGATGATTGATTCGGTTGATCTGATTAAACATAATAAAAGAACAGCATTGGTGATTGGGAATATTTTGACTTCCATTCTTCATCATTCACAATCCATCAGCTCGCGTTCGGCCTACAGTGGGCAACGCAATCGGTCAATGAAGTTTTTCGCTTCCATTTATAACGGGTACCTCCTGAAAACGGCAATTCAATGGCTGCAATTCACCACTCTTCTCTCCTTAAGTTCATCCCAAAAAAAAGAAATGATCTAGGCTATACTCGCTTTCTTGTCACTAAAACTGATATATCTCCTTCACTCTAGAAAGTTTTACAAGAAAATATGCATGGGGCACTGCAAAAGCTCTACATACGACTACATGAATATGAATAAAAACGACCACCATGGAGGGTGATGTTACTGATCGCGGCGATCGTCATTGGCGGTATACGAGCAAGACAAGTGGATGGGATTGCACAGCAAGTTAGCAGACTAGTGACGTGGAGTATTGGCAGTTGTGCTTTTTGCTTTCCGTTTTCGGTCATGCCGGTTTGTATTTAATTTAAATACTAGTACTATTTATACCGGCAGATTTTTGTAAACCATTGTTTTGTTTGTTTTTTGAAATTAACCAAAAAAAAATGAATTTGTAATCTTAGATCGACTCAAAACAATGTAACGGTGAACTTAGTTTTATTTCCTCGATTGTTGAATAAACGTCTACCTTAGCAGAATGAACTTCTTGAATGGACTAAACCACGTATTTATACTATCTCTGAAGGATTTCGTTGAGAATCCGGCCGCCAATCAAATCGTGTACGTTCTCAATTTCGAGCCTACAAGTCCATTCAACATATATCGTCATCTGCCAATTAAATAATCACTTTCATAACCTGAATCATAACCCCCATCATCTTGCATACTATAAAATGGTGTTACCTGTTCTGCTCGCTGATATAATAACGGCGCCGCCACATGCTGAATATAATCTAACACCGGCTCAGACGCCTCTTTGTTCAACCAGGTCTTAAAGTCTGATGGCTTCTCTCTTACCACCTCAACCGGAAACAGTGTATACTTAGTCACCCCTTGCCTAGTGAGTACTGCCCCAGTTAATCCACAGCCATTCAATTCACGTCTACCTAACAACATACCCGCATTGTGTGGAATCCAATCCCCACATATCCAACTTAACCCTCCTTTCTCCTACTAAAGTAGGCAATACAACCTCAACATCTCGCACCTTGTATTCCACATAAAGTGGAGCACCAAATCCTGGAACCCACTCTCCACACAAATCATACTGAGCAACCAGCCCCAGACGCTCTGCCAAACCTTTAGAAATTATCGACCTATCGGCGCCTTGATCAACAAACATATCGATATATCGGCGCCTTGATCAACAAACATATCGACATATCGGCGCCTTGATCAACAAACATATCGACATAACACTATTCACTCTCCACATAACTATAGACCAACGGTTGGCCTGGTCCTTCATAAATAGCCGCCGCCGCATGTTACAATTCAGGTGTCCCATCTGCACTCATACGCACCTCCTCAGACGCTGCTGCCGCTACAATACCCCCGGATCGTGTTGTATGACAGAATCTCGCAGTTTGACATATCTTGCTACACGTATGACACACCACGTCTTTCAACACAGGACACTCTTTCACATAGTAACCATCTTGCTTGCAAAACAAGCAAGCCTCTCTCAGACCTGTCCTCCCTGAAACACTGGACTCCTGTCTAGCTGCAGCTGCTTGCAACTGTCCTGCTCTCGCGGTTACCCTCGCCTAAAGTCTCCGGCCCGCGTGTTCCCACTTCTTGACGCGCTATGTCGTCTTCTCTCATGTCAGACAATTGCTCCAGCACCTGCCCCAACCCTCCTGCCTCAAATACACTCAGAACCATGTTCTTCTCCGATTTGCGACTCGCAAATAAGGCTTTCAACAAACTTATACAACGCACCCATCACTATATCCTTAGAGCTCACATCATTTGCCAATTAAGCAGCATATCCACATAGTCATCATCCCTCAGTATAGGAACCATCCAGCGTGCCCCACGCTGATTCGTCTTTTTAGCATTCCTACAAATCACCTTGCACAAAGCATCATACTCACGCCGTTTCTGCCTAGTCTCTATCTTCAACTTAGCTGCTGCCCTTGGCTTGTCTGATACATCAGCCTCTTCCCTACTTACTGTAGTAACTTTCACTGCAGGCACTCCATTCTTCTTCTTAGCATCCTCATCCTCACTGTCACTACTTTCGCTGTTATCACTGCTATCACTATCCCTAGCGGCTTCCTCCTCAGGCCTACTTTCGCTCTGTTCGTCCTCAGAAGGCTCCTCAGTAAATGGATTCCGTTCTGGGAGCACTTTCTTTGCTTATCTTTCGCCGCAACATGCCGAGCACCATAGTAATAAATCTCACGAAGATACTCGATAATCTTTTCAGGCTTGGATCTCCACCCTCCTATTGCCTTCGCAAAATCTGCCTGGGTTTCACTCACTTCAATTGGGTCCTTAAACGCTGGAAAAAAAATGCTGCAGACGCGATGTACAGATCCTTCGTCTCAATATAGGTCTTGCTGCTATAGCCCTCTAGTTCCAATTTTGTCTCCGGTGTAACCTCCTTCAAAAGAGCTATCGCTGGGCGGAAATCTCCTTTCTTCACCTCGAGCTCATAAGCCTTGGTACCCCTGACGTAGTCCCATCGATTCAAAAGTTACGTCATCGGCTCTCCTCTCACATATCTCCAGAACGATTGCCCAGTCCCAGCTGCATTATCCTTCTCGTAAACTATTTTCCACTAATGTTTATTTGTAATCTTAGATCGTCTCAAAACACAATGTAACGGTGAACCTAGTTCATATTCTCGACTGTTCAATAAACGTCTAACTTAGCAGAATGAACTTCTTGAATGAACTAAACTATGTATTCATACTATCTCCGAACGATTTCCTTGCGAATCCTGCCTCCAATCAAATGTACATT